GAGCGTTCGTGCTAGAAATGGCCGCTTCCGTAAGTCGCATTGGAGGAAGGCTCACATTGCAAAACTGATCCATGAATTTTTGGAGGGTACTGTCACATTCGCTTCGGTGTTGCCTATGTAAAACGCTTGCAGCTACTAAGAAAGCTAGTAGGACTATCAGTATCGTCGATAGCATACAACTGCATCTTAAACTGACACATCTGAGTCGTGGAACGGAGGGACGCTCGTAATGCCTCGTAAAAGGGCGCTCACCGGTCCCAAGATGCTGCACACCTTTATATGTATGAAGCGACATTAGCTCTGATTCGTCTGATTCGACTCGCACATCAATGCTAGCTTCTATTTGATATTCTGCAGAGGGTCCGCCTGACATACACGTTTCAAGAGGCGTTTGAACTTGTACAAAATCACCACCTATTGAACTTCCGCCTGGAGGCGCATAAAATTTGATTGGATCTCTTATAGTTTTTTCGCTATTAAAACGATTTGAAGCAGAATAACCTCGAGTTCTGAAATCCTTTAATTTACCAAAAGCAACTCTAGGAGCATTTTTTTGATCCGGCTTTTGGTGTTCACTGGTACTTTTGCCATTGGTCTCACATCGTACTGCACAGTTCATCTGCATATGCTTCTGTGAACCGATGTTTTGGGCGTTCGCTGTGCCATCAATTGGCTGCATGTCAAAACTGAAAATTTCGAAAGTCCTAGTCGATTCTTGAAAGTTCACACCGGGTCACTCTGTATGCATCCCTCGGTTTGATGCCTGTCACAGCCTAGCCGTTCGAAATTAATTTGCCAGATACTTTTTTAATGACTCTACCGCGATATATGGAACAGTTAGTAAATTCTAAAGCCTCACGAGTTATCACATTTATGGGCGGCAGTCTTCAAAGACCTCAGCTCCGTTACAATGCGCAAATACTATTTTCCCTTTGAGCTATTCAGGAAGCTACCCGAGTTCTAATCAAGTCACAAGAGTTATAGGAGAGGAATCATTGCGAGAATCCGTTTACCGACACAGTGGTTATCTGGGCCAGAATGTATTTGTGTTTTGATTGTGGTCTCGGCAATCGACTACCACAGCAGGATCCGGAGGTCCCGTTGTGAGATGTCTAGCCACACTGCTCTCAAAGTGGTTGGATGATCCTCTCTTGGGAAAGAGGAAAAAGCCCGTTTATGAATAATGCTATAAACAGTCATATATCTATGTGTATGCATTTACATAGTTTTTGAGATTGCTTTCAACGTTTAGATTCTATGTTATGGCGGACTTATTTATGTTTAATAGTTCAAATGGGTATTTCTGACCTATGTAGTTAGTCACCGCTCAGCTGTACGTACAGTCGACACGAGCTGCAATTGTTACTATGGAGCAACGGTAAGAACAGTGTAAAAGCAAAAGGATTTAACGTACTTCGATTTAACAGACAACAAGCTACTCTTTACTTTGGTACGCCAAGATAGAATTGCACCAAAGAATCGGCTATTTCATTAAACTATATCTTACTTCAATCTCAGTGGGTCGGTATTACATTGGTCTTAATTCCAATAATATTATATTATTCCTTGGAAAAATCACATGTATTTTGCTCACATATGCGTCTGAAATTGAGAACACCTTCGAACGCGCCCATACAGAATTAAACCTTCAAAAAACTATGTAGATACATTTCATTACTCAAATAGACGACTTGAACGGTTCCTCCCTACGGGCACTGTTTAAGCTCTATGACTCCCTAAGGAGAAGTTACGCAACTGATTCAGTAATGAAGTATGTTTGTTTACCTCTTGTTCTTACTTTTGTTTTTTTTACTCTTGTTGTTACTTTTTAAATTTACAAACTAATTTTTATGCTTTATTATTGATCTTATAAACCATGCAGACGGTATAAACAAAACATCCACCACCTATAAAAGTTTGAACGCGGCATTATCGTCCAACGGGCACTTCGTAGTCCAACAGGAAAGGAGGATCGAATAACGTTATGCCTAACAATGATCGCACAAAGCCTTGTTAGATCCTATTGTTTGTTTTCGCTTCTTTTTGTCTGATAGGGTTAACTTAATAGACAGTGGCCTTTGCTCGGAATATCTCTTTTCAGTCACTACTCCTGCAATGGGCAATATCTACTAAACCAGGGTTATCGAATTTAATTCTAGTAAAAGCTTAGTCTTCTTCTATAAAGAGTGTTGATAAGGATATTCTTTTTGATCGAATGTAATGATGCTAGAAGATAAGTCGACTACTTTACAAAATGATCTGATACCTTATAGCTGCTATTCTTCGTTCGCTGGTATCGTTTATTTTGCATAATACGATAGGGAAACCTGTGAGTTATTTTTACATTTTGGTTTTATTTTTCGAATAGGGTGCATCAAACGTCAAAGCTGAATGGTATACCTGCACTGCATTTAATAGATCAGAAATTCTATTACTGGATGTTTTCGTTATATCCTCAAGGGAAAGGACACCATCAGCTTTCCCATCATTGGCCCCTTCATATTGTACTATTTTGTAGCTGCTATACCAAATATAGACAAAATTGGCGTCAAAAGAGAATGAACATTGCTGACACCCTTATCCCGCACGCGTATGGAATAGATATACACTCGAGGCTGACCCGCGGGCTTTGCCCGCGTGTATGTCGTTGACTTATCTGATCTGTTGAACTTGCATTCAACTTAACATAGATTGCAACAGATATATACCAACAGTTACCTATACAACAATTACCTTGTTCCACCTTCTGTAAATCACCCGCAATTACCCTTTTGTGAATCATTTCATCAACCTGTTCCGGGTTCGGCAGACTCTCTCAGAGTATATTGCCTTTTGGTGAAGTTGTTCAATGTAATTGCAGGTCTTTTCTAGGGCGGGCTGATTGGCTTGGTTTCGTATTGGTATCGTACGTAAACGTATGTAAATCAAGTTAGTCTTTGGGCGATTTTTAATAATTATTGCCGATTCTTTCTAAGAGCTTCATCGAAAACGCTTTTTATAAAAAATAATTACACACACTATATTAAACCCCGAGACGTTTTTCATTTTTTCTCTTTTTTTTTTTTTATAACAAGTACGAACATATGCACGAATGTAATGAACAGCTGATTCTGTCTCTAGGACGTCACGAAGGAATAAGGATTTTTCCTCGTTCTGATTTTCTTTTTTCAGTGAATCGTTACAGATATCATATCACGTCAGAAAAAAAACTAGAAGATTTTGTTTATCTTGTCAAACTTTTTGATAATAAATATTTGCATTTGTTATTAATATCTTGGATTTTCTCTGAAATTAGATTAGACCTTTAAATTCGTCGCAATTGGCATTTGCTATAAATTCTCACTATCGTTACATAGGCAGATTACTGATGCAACCAATAAACTTTTCCGCAATTTTTAGCCAAAATTATGAATTTTAAAAATAGATATATGTAACGCCACATTAAGTGTTTGTCCATTTTCGATCTGAGAACTAAGAATGGGTGTACTATACAATTTTTCAACAAGACCCCTATCAAAAGAGCCCACGTTTACTAGCACCTACAACTTTCTCAGAGACATGTATAAAAGAATCTCTTGCAAACAACGCCAATAAGGGCACAAATGCAAACACACACAAATTTGCATCAGTTAATAATGCGCTGTACAGGATAGAATTAACAAACTTTCCCGGAAAAAAATATCTATCCGATTAGCTCCAGCCCCACGCGCAAGACATGTGTGTGCTACTGACGCGCCAAAGAAATAGGCCCAGTCCCGGTCAGACAAATAAATAATAAAATTAATGAACAAACAGACACCGGCTTTCAGTAATATGTAGATAGATTAGTTTACCGAAAAAATATTGATCGTTTTTCTAGCTAAATAAGGTGACATGTTTCGCGTAGCACGAGTCGCGTGGAGTCGGCGTTGGCTTATAATTTGACTCGTAGATATGCCAACGTTATGGGAGTTCCTTGCTTTAGCCTTACGATAGAGCACCTTGAGAACGAATGAAATTTCCGCAAAAATTGGCTACATGTTACCATTTTATCACGACAAAGGCACAAATGCTGCATATGCCCATAGAAAAATCATACTACTTATGCTCAAAAGGCGCTATTGGAAGAAATGGCTCAGAGATGGCTTTATCGCTCTCGTAGAAATCGACCAGTTGAAAAAAAAAGATACAATAATTGCGGAACTTAAGTGAAACCGAACGTGAGTAGCTATGATATCCTCAAGGGACTAAATACCCAGCACTTAACAGATAAAAAGACCTAATATCTGAGTATCACAGAAATCAGCATAAAAGAAATTGCTTGAAATTATCAGAGGAACTCAGCAGAAATTGAGCCATTTCTAAAGCGATTATAGAAAATAGATCGCACATATCATTAATGTAACATAAAGTTAATGAAAAACAGTTCGTGGTGGAAAAAACTCGTACTGACGTCGCAGAAGGTGATGCTAGTGTTTGGTTGTATTGGAAAGCAATCGTGTGTTATGATCGTCTGTCGTTTGGCAAAACGATTAATTCAGACCACTACTATCAACAATTAACAGCATTAAAACGAACCATTGAAAGAACTAGCTGACCAGGAAATACATCCTTTTCTGCTCCTACATACGGCTTCAGCAAAACTGAGAGAACTTAGATGGAAAATTTCAATAGGTCCGCTCTGTTGTCATCACCAGACTATCATTTGTCTCACAGCTCGCTTTATTGTGGTAAATTAGTTTCGATGGAAATAGAAGGCCATCGATCAAAATGGCCCGTATTTAATAGTAATAATGTTTTTAAGAGTAATAATGTTTTGAAAAAAAAAATGTTCAAGTATTGGCTTGCAAACAGTCAAGGCTATTTCGAAAACCCGTTATATATGCCTAATACATGTGTCATAGGCAATATAAATACAGAAGGTAAATTATCGATTGTCTAAAGAGTCAATGTTCACTCCGGTATTATAAAAGTAATCTAAAATAATAAAATAAATTAAAAAGATATGCATTTCTCACAAGTTGTTTTTTATTTATTGTTATTGTTATTATTATACAGTAAATAGATCAAAGTGACAATGATAAAATGAGGGCTAGCAATCATATAGATGATATCGTCAACGATTCTTTCAACTTTTTCGATACATATACATGTCGTCGTGTTCTTCAGATACAAACCTTAGGTTTGTTTTTATTCTTTCATACGTCAGCGTGTATAAGTTAGATGGTACTGAAAAAAAAAACAGCTAACTTTCTTCATTAACATGAATTGTGCAGATGACATTATAGAGTTGGTTTCACGAAATAATTACGATAGGATTCAACAACTGGGTGTTTTCTAATAAAAATCGTCGAAAACATGGGCTAAAATATTCAATAAGAACGCACCTAGAGCGTGGCATGGGGTTAATGATGCCTTAAGGGATTACTAAGTTATAAATGGGTTTTAATATATGCATCTAGCACCGACATTTCGAATGATTTTAGCGGTCTTGTAAAGCGATATGTTTATTAGACGAGGTTCATTATATCGTTTCGTAGATGGCGCAGTAAATAATGTAACACTATATGAAAAATAAATCCCTATGTACTTTTGTCATAGAATTTATTAATATGCCATATTTTAGTTTGATGTCAAACGTCCATAGCAATGTAGTAATGAGCTTCTAATAACGTCAAGAGAACATGGTACAAGTAGAATTCATATGCATTATGTAACGTGACAGTAGAGCGCGTCGACTTCAGCAGAGGGATGCCAGCTGCAAGCTTAGGCTTTCAGGCGTGCTCGGATGTACGCTATGTGCAGCTAGCATGCACAAAACCTAGTACTTAGGTCTTATTTCTAGGTACTCTTACGATGCAGCAATCTTTTAATAACGAAAATTTTTGCATATCACAGGTGCAGATCCTATGTGTATTGATATCATGTTATTAGGCAAAAGTCAGCTGACGTCACCCGTCCTCAGTCATCGTCTACTTTATGCTTTAATATTTGTCCTAAGTTGGCTGTTCTCGTTTTGCGTCCTGCGGTCATTTAGTGAAATCTTTTTCCGATATAGTTAGTGCCACATTAAAACCAAGCTGTTATATTGGTACGTTCGCATCTAAGTAAATTTATACACGACAGATTTGTTTGTCTAGTGATTTTTAGCCTTAGAAATCTGGGAATGTGACTGTAATAGGTTCTGACATCGACAAACACAGCACGAGGGAAACAAAAACCAATCCATAAATATTCCTTTGCAGTCATCGTCAGGGTCATAAGCGAGCAGTCGATGCCACTTGTATTTCTGTTCGCAGCCGCAGTCGGCGTTGCACTTTCGCGTCTGGCTGTTCTGACACATTTCCTACGAAGCACAAGATAAACACGCATAAAAAAAAAAAAAGATTACGAACATTTTCATTAATGGTTTTTAATAATATCACAGTTGCTGTCAGTGCAGTCATTTTCAAGAGACGCGATTAAATAGAGTAATATTTTCCTTTTTAAGCATCGTACCTAAGTTTTTTAAATATCATGCCCAACGCTGCAACACAGCCTCAGTTCTTGAACCCCCAATAAATCTGATAAAACTATCCGGAATTTTGAATATCAAATCGATTCACAACATTTTACAGCTGACGCTTGAGTGCTATAATAACGTATGTATTAAGTGTGATGCATGCAGTAAGGGAGACTTTAGCAATAACCCCTTGTTTGTTTGTTTGTTTAGCCAGAAGTTTGGTCGCAGAAGTATCATTTGATCTCATCTGGAGTAGGTCACCCTTGGACTGATTTGTAAAACTGGCGACGCAAAATTGGCATCAAGTAATATAAGCTAAAATAAAACAAAAAGCTAGATTAACGAAAATAGTTATTTATAATTCCACTTTTTCTCTAATTGAAACAATGCGCAATTAAACCCATGTAGAAAGTGCATTTCTTTTTCCCTAAAATCTAGTACAGCTTACAGGCTAACTTGAAAGTTTGTACTATAGAAATCTTTCTGGTTGTAATCATGGTGCGAAACGATCTATGTAACGTATTTTCTAAGTACTATTCAAATAAAAGCCAATTTTAATGGTGACGCTGACACTGGTCGCAATGTATCCAAAAAAACTGGTCCCTATCGAGATAAATTGGACAAGATTCATAAGGCAATAAAATAATTATAACACTGGTATGCAGAGTTTATTTGTAAAGTTTGCTCCTTAACGTGAATAAATTTTGGTTTTAGGAGACCTACGGTTTGAATTGCCTGTTGTAGATGTTGTGTATTAACGATTGCCCGTATTTTGCCGTGACTGTTAGATGCCCAGTACGGGGTGACAATCTCCACTGTGGATTCGCACGCGTCCACTTTGTGAGGGGACCCTCCGACGTTAGCAGCTCGTTTTCCCCGATGATGAATTCGGCGTCCGTCGTAGGTCTGGAAATGCTCAATTGCAGGATCCGATGGACTATCGACGTTACCAAACATACGACGAATCATTGATTTATTGTCGTCGATGAAACTATCAATTCTTTCCCTGTATGTAACGAAAAGGGAGGAAACGAAAACAAGAAATATATCAGCGGGTATAACTCTAAGCGCGGACATTGGCATAAAAAGTAAACATATGACTCTACTGGACGGTAATCGCTTTGAAGCGCTAGTGTAGGGTCGTTGCGCCGAGTGTAATATTCCTTTACTTACTATGATTTTGACGTTTCCTACAGCGGTAAAAAAAAAATTTGCTTTGAGGCACCGACTGTGTCAGTGGTACTAGGCGTTCTTATAAATTCACTGCGCCTAACCTAGCAGTCGTTTTCATCAGCTTTGTCCATATATTAACGGAAGGAAGTAACGCTGCATTTTTTCGAAATGTAGTAGAATTCAGATTAAGTCAAATATTCTCTTTTCCCTACATTTGTGTACTTCCAAAAGTTCGATGCCGTATCCGGCCCGACTGTTGTCTGTTGTCTGAAAAGCTAGATATGTTAAAATTCAATTTTTTGTACTCTCTTAACTATAGGAAACTATCACTAGCCGGTTGCTGCACAAAGCCTAAACATATACATCAGCCTTATTTCTGTTTCGAGCGTAGAAACACCGAAGCTTTGCTCTCACCTTTTGCACGTTTTTTCCTTTGAGAATTTGTGGCCTGCCACGATTGGCTCCGTTAAGTTGATGCTGAAATCAAACGAGGCAGGTCATAAACCGGGGAAGGATATGAAGGCGTTAGCAGTATGGCCGTTGTACATTAACAACAATAAATATATATATATCTGGTGATTTGTTTTCGATGAAGGTCAGCGTTTTAGCTGCAAAGATATTTCATGATTTCACTCAGTTCAATACATACTTAAATCAATATCTAGTCGAAAAATTAAGCTTCATAGTAAATAATAACCTTACTATCAGACTCGTAGTGAAGTCAATAATAGTTCAGCTTATGTATGTAGTAACAATAAATGCTATTCTGAAGTAGCTGGCGATGTTCTGAAGATTCTTCATTCTGAATATGTTGGCGACTAGACTGGTTAATATATTATAAAATATTTCAAGGGACACTTGTGTCAAACAGAATGTTGAACCCTAATTCTCGCGGCCATTATGGCGACAAACATGTCAACCACAGTTTTATTGGATCGATGTTTTTATGGGAGACTAAATAAACATTCATTAATTGAGTATAATTAAAATGTACGAATAAACACATTATTTGAATTAGGCATTCTCCTAAAGGCAACTCAAATATTTAATAGGATTTTCGACACTGACAGTAGATGATGACGACTTGTTTGTTTTGTCTGTTAGTGAAAATGAAAAAATTACAATTTTTAGACTTGCCAATATCCTTGAGGTTACCGAAGAAATAGATTTAGCAGATGGGTAACAGTAAATCTGATAAAAGCAATGACATTCAAGTCTGAATGTTTTTTCTATCTAAATTTCCCCTGTTTATGCCATTGAGACTCATAATACGGTACGCAGGAACTAAAGACAAGTGACTAATTGAAGTTACTCGATCTAGAATTAGAGATGATATAGGTGGGATCGCTAGAGGAATGCTTAAAACGTAAATTCGAAGTGTTTGTTTTTACAAGTTGGTATTATCTATAGCCACGAGTAGACAGATATCACTCATCATAGCTAATTGATCATTTGGACTTCCTAATCGACATTTTACTCATAACCAACGCTCGATTTCATTAAAAGGCCTAATAATACAATTTTTACTTGTCAGAGCGTTTTTTGCTGACCAACTGCTAAAAAGCACATCATAAATTTTAGTTCCAGTCTGGACTTGTGAAACACATCGCTTGTCATGGATACTTCCAAAAACACCATTTTTACAATTTTTTATCTGGGCTTTATATATTAACACTGCTAAAAGCTCTGTGAACACTTACGCAAGCGGCCAAAGCACTTTTGTAAGCCTTCACTCACCAAAATGTGTATATACATTTAGCTTTGTTGTAAGCCAGCACATCGCCAGAGCAAAGGAAAATTCCGTTCCGTGGCCATAAACGTGCCGTCAAAATCAGCCCGTGTCATCAACTAAGCTTCAAGACATCAGTATGTCCGCGTCAGTACTCTTTGATAGTTGTGTATTACGTTATCTTATCTTTTATTAAATTATTTTCCATATGTAACGTATTGCGGCTGGATATCTCAATATTCGACGTCTAAAAGCTATGCATTTTCGAGCATCATTTGTAGCCGCTTAATTTTTTCTATGAGCTTCGTGAGTCTGGGCGCCGCGGTTCAGAACACCGCAGGAATCCGGGGGGTTTTTAGATTATGACAGAGGTTTATGGGTGTATTTTTTCGACAGCAGAACGGCAAAACAGTTTCTTATAAATGTGATTTACTAACTAAATAGTTTAGGTAATGTGAATCTAAGTTGATTATTTAGGGTATAAATTAAACATTTTAGCAAACATTTAACCGTATCTATCCTACAGGCCCACTGTGAAACTGTCTATAGATTCTTGCAACAACTAGAGTCCGCAAAAAACTGTATAAGTTTCGATCCTTTATGCCAAGCTTATATGGAACAGAGCTTGGGATGATTTTTTTTATGCCTACGATATATGCACATAATGAAATGAGGCTTAGATAACTTTTTTGAGGTACTCTAAAGAGGAGCGCGCCACAAATATAAAATCTGTTGTTTGTTATGCTTCATTTGTCGCGCTGATGGACAAGTAGACTGTCAATCAATTTTAAAGCCATCTGAATAAGAAAATACAAGACAAATGTACACCGAAGAGGATGAGTGATTTGTTCTACTAAATGTTTAGACAAAAAAGAAAAAACATAATTTTGAAGCGTTTTATAAATTAATGGGCTGGTGTAAAATCGCGCTGTTCTTTTACTTGGTAACTCTGCTAGTGTTTCCGCTAGAAATTCCACGCTTATCTATGACGTATTATAAAATGCTCTTAAGGAATAACGATATTCATAGGCTACTTTCGTTTTGGGTCGCCCATTGATGCCACCATAGTTGTGTTTGTGAAAATTGCCAGTCCATCAACCTTGATAAAATACTGAGGGACTGCATTGCAAACTCACGAGACGAGAGGGTTAAAATCACGTAATTTGCCAATTATCGATAAGTCAACTGTCAATCCTAAGTCTAAAATGGTACCGTAGTTTATTTTAAGAGACTATCTTTGTTACGGAAAAAAAAAGTTAGCAGTTTGGTGTTTCTAGACTTCGATTACCTCACTGTTTCACAATTATTTATCTGTCTAAATGAGTGTGCTATATGTGTAGGACCAGTTCGTGAGGCTCGTTTTCAATATACGACTTTATAAAAAAAAAAAAAAAAAAAAAAGCTATGGAAAGCTAATAAAAATGTTTAATACGTTCCTGAAAAAGCAAAGAACGGTATATTGAGATCTTATTACGCGAGACTTAGGTTTGTATCAAGTCGTTTCCCAAAGATGTATATTGCTTAATGCCCGTGAGACAGATTGTTTTCAAATAAATGAAATCCAATCAGGCCACATCATTATACATCCTTGGATTTTAAATATGACTGGGCACGGGATTTAGGTAGTTAGTTGAGATCATCTGCGTTTGAATGTCTTTAAATTGTTACCCTAAATGCGTAAATCTTCATTAAGTCTCGTATTAGTCCTGATTTGAGATGACCAGCTTGATGAATAGCACAAGTAACCATTGCCCCGTATCTATAATACTGCCATCCGAGATAAACGACTTACTTTGGATAGAGACTCCCTGCTGTAGGACAATACAGCTGGTTAGCCGCCCGCACACATGGCAAGTGCTGCATTGTTCCTGCTGCAACTTTCGGTACCGCCATCTCAATAAGCAGTAACACTATAGTCACCCCTCGTACAGTCTTTAGACTTGGCCACCGAGCGAAGCCTGCAATGTTTCTCGTGGAGATCATTACCTTTCGTGCAATACCGTTCAGTATTTGTTGACATATTGTTCTAGTAAACTTTGCGGCTGTACGCCTCGGATAGTCGCCTCTTGTATTTGGCGCCGCCATGACGCTGACCGAGCGAACCTCGCTGGGGATCGCTTTGGCTGTAGGACACACACCGCTTGCAGTGGGGGTAGTACCACTACTTGTGTATATCACTAAGAACAACCATACTAGCGCGCACGAATAACTGTACCGTCCACCATTCTAGAATCTAATGCATATCTTTGATCGTGCACTTTGATGATAACAACACCGAGGTTTTCAGATTTGAGCACATTTTTATTTTCCAACAAAGCGATTTTACTCTACGAAGGAGCATCGAACGAAGTACCGGCGTCCTTCGGTCTTGACTAGCGGAGACTCCCCAGTCCTCCCGCTGTCCTATAAAGTAGCTTCCTTTGCGGTAAATACTTCACTCTATGTTGTACTTCAATCCGCTACACATTGGCTACAAATAACAGCAGCAACAGCGACAACAACAAGATCACGACGACGGCAACAACAGCTTCTTCTGTTGTTCTGCTCTCGCGATGGTCGACGCTGACGCGCTGGTGGTGGTGCTATTATCCCCGATGAAACGAAGCAGCCATAGCGAACGTGGTTGAAGCCCGTCCGTTCGTGAGCGGCGGAGACGAAGCCCGAAGTAGCAGCAGCTCAAAATCGAAAATGTTGGGATAGTGCGAGTCACCAGCTAACAGCGTACGACGACCGGACATGTTGCTGAGCTGGGGAGCACAAGAGAGCGACGTCTCGACGTACGTTCGTAACGATGCGTCCCGCCCGATATTCCTTTCGGCGACGTATGGACGTTCTTTCAGTTAGACTTTTCTGTGGTAGCCATCGATGGCTATAGGTAGGTCTCTTTCCCTTACGACGTAGGTTCTTAAATGAGTGTATACGGGCACTGGTCAAACCAGTAAGGACTCGGCAGCATCTTCTCAGTAGCCTGCCCGCATCTACTGGCTAACTACTAAGCCCTAACATAACAAAATGCGATGTCAACATAGGGATCTGGCAATAGGGTGACTCGTTTTTTTAAACCATTATTATGTGTACCATCAGAGTAGACGTTCTTCCCGTATCAATGGCTTACGTCTGTATGATTTGAAATCGTCTGCAATGAATGAGCAGGTGTTACATTTTTAATTAGGCGCAACAAGTCAAGCTTTATATAACACCCCACTAACCTTACAAAAAATATAACCAGCGCATAGTCCGCAATGATTGTGCAGTCATACATACACGCCTATTCATGTTATGATATATACCTCCAATAGTAAAAGTAATTCAAATTATTAAATCTGTGAGGTCACGAACGCATTTAATCATTATGTTAACTTTACTGAGAAAGGCCGTTTTTTTATTCAGTCTCAGGACAAATCGCTCATCGAAATCATATTCATAAAGCAGAATACAAAGAGTTTTACTAAAACAATGAATCCCAACTTGAAGGAGGGAAAGGGGGTCGAAAGCAAATTTTTATTACGGCTCGATTTCCTTCCGGTAACACGCGTATAGCATCCTGACATGATCTACGATTTTGTAAAACAAAATTAGCCCTATATTTGCCTACGAAACCAGACTAACCGTTATGCAGAAGGACATTATTTTTGACTCAATAAACTGATAAATATAAACTGTTTGCAAAAAACACGACATTTTATAGAATCGCAGAGCCGCAATGGTTGTAGCCAGTGATTCTGTCAATGTATGTTTTAGGGATGTTAAATTTTCATGGAGATGGTCTCTGGTACGGCCTTTTACGAAATCATTATCACTAGTCCGGTCTGTATTAGTTCGTCAATGCCGTTCTACTGTGAGATCGGTAATGAGTCTGCACTTTTTGCCAACTTCAGTTTCACTTGATTTCACCAGCTGCTAAACGATTGCGTACAATCAATTTTCTCCGTGAATAGCTGACTTGATAGCCCGTACCCTATACGAACACGATTTCATGAACAAACAGCCCGCTAAGCGACAGGCCGTTATTGATTATTCTTCCCTCACAGCAGTTAGTAAAAAAAAAAACCGTTCAACTTTGGTATAATGTTAAACGATGTTGTAATTATCCATGGACGGTGTCCCCTTAGCTTGGCTCACCTGACTGCTGAGAACGATACTGGGTGCATTTTGGGCTTCCCCAGCGTAGCGCAAAAGAAAACAGTTATTTATTGTTTTTCGGACTAGGGTTAAACTGTTCGTCATTTACTCGCTCGCTCATGTCGTAATATCTATTTAGACTTAATGTAACAAAATTGAGCCAATTAGATGAATAGATAGAGAGTGATCTCGACGTTAAATGAATCCCACTGCAAATGCTGATGTCAAAAGCTCAGAAGATTTCTAGAGATAATCGGCCAGCAATCGCTTAAATACGCAACCCCAGAATTTACATGACCACGCTCAGTGTTTGCCCGACTGACAACCAGGTTTTACATTTCATAGAACTGGAAAATCGTTAGGTGACACATAGTGGATTTGCCTGCTGTATCTACTGTTCGATCGCGCTGGATAGCAGTAACTTTCACTAGAGAACGGATAACAATCTCTTGCAGATAAAATCGTTTTCTTTATGAAGCCGCATAGAATAAACAATGGTACTCACTAACATAGGCGAACGACGACGACGAGGAGGTTTCCAGCTAACTAAGACCTGCTCCAATGTCATAGTGTTATTCAAGATAGCCTATGAACATTGAAGTCTTCTTGAAAATCTTGATTGTGTTTCTGGATCAGTTTCAAAAATCATATTATGGCCCATTGAAGCTATTTAATTATCGCTTGATCCGTGACTCTTGTTTATGGAGAACTAAATTCGATTACATAATGGTCCACGGGTTCATCGTTCTGGGTGGCTAAAGGCTCTTGCCTATTTTCGTATAACTTTTTAGGTCAAGTTTCCCAGAGCTTAAATGCTTTTTTGAGTTACTCTAACGCCATACCCATAGAAAACGGAGCGCTTTAGGAATATTCGATGTTTATTATAGCGGGGTACAATACAAAAAGGTATATATCATTCCGAGAAACAGTGATTCGACTTATTTTGCAGACGGCTTTCCATTCTTGGTATGCAGAGTTAGGGAGCTTATCGTTTGACTTTCTTCAATCTCCTGTTATCTCTCACTCGTTATCTTATACGCGGTGGCTTGGATAGGTAGGTCTCTAAATCCGAGGCGACCAGCTGGGTCGAGCTCGTTATACGATACGTACACATAGATGCGTAACTTGAGTTACCTGCTCTTTTAAATTACCAATGGACTGAACTTATAACTCAATAGTAATTTATGTTGTGTGATATGTTTGGCAACCAGAGCATACAAAAGCGAAGCTATACAAGGACAAGCAAATAGCGGTAGAACTTCAACAGAACATCGACTCAAACATAACACATACATTTAAGAAACAGTTATAGCGGAATAGTCAAATGCAGGTTTTCCTCCAAGTTCTGCCGACACATTTTCATGTTTGACTATCAAAGATCATTCTAACAAATAACTTGCGCCCTTCAGCTTTGATTTTTTTTTAAAGGAACAAGTGCACTCGTTCTGATAAGGGCACTGTCGTGTTAAAGCTATTTGTGGATGCAGTGATTTTTTGTATCCAGCAATTGTTCTGCGAACGTTTTGTTGGCTGCACAAGATTTTTATAAATACCCCGTGTATTAGATAAACACCATATAAACCGAGAATATCTGAGAGAGCTCGCATTTGCGCGCGATTAATACGACTAATCTTGTCGGGAATGTTCTCAAATTAAAGGCATTCATTTAAACAAAAGGCTTCTTTACTGCAGGGGTAAAACCTATGAGACATAATCCTTGTTAGAACCTCAGTTAAGCTCATCTACAGGGTGTATCGAAAACAACGGGTGTTCCGCCCAAAGTTATAATATTTATTAACCATTGCGTGCAGTGATCTGTCTCAATTCCTTCAGATCGGCGCTACCTTGCGGTTCGTATATTTGCATAAAGTTTAATCGAATTGAGTTGAAATTATCAAATATTATACGACTAGTGTTAGATTTTAGTGTATCGGTTTTCGTTAGCGCTTGTTTTGGAGGTGTCGAAGTTATTCTATATTTAAGCAGATGAGATGTACGGCTCACAAGCTAAATGTCTAGGAAAAGCTCTGTAGAACGCGAACATTGGTCAAATGTATTGTTACAGATGTTCGTAACGCGTAAATGCGTCGCGTGGAACTTGCCAAAAAAAGGGAAATTATCACACGTTCAACTTAACAATCTGTCCTATCTTATTAAAATCTTAACAAAGCGCAAAATCATAGACAGAAATTAATTGGCAAGTTGTGTATAAAGACAGACTGGCATAACTGTCGTCTGATAACATCATGTTTTCCTCCACTCAAGTGCGATAGTTTTTTTTCTGGATTACTAAATAGCGGAATAAGGCTAATTTGATGTAACTTACTATATATTACAATATCCATTTATGGTCTGGCTGAGTTAGCTGAAAATATTAGATAAGGAACTCCGGGGCACGTAACAGCGTATTGAAGTATGCTGCAGAAATTTAACTCTAGTTCTCTATTCGGAAAAATTTTAAGAATAGGGCAATTCATTCAGTGTGCATGAAGAAACCGTTCGAGTCATTTAAACTACGTATAACACTCGAATAAATGTGTGCAGGAGAGGTAACAAATGCTTCTCCAGGAATATCGCCTGAGTGCCAGTGGTGATAACTAGACTGTTAGTTAAGCGGGCCCCAAAAGCTGCTTTAAATAGTGTGCAGTGATAACAGATGGTGCTTTAGAGAGGTTGGCGGATCACCAGCCCCATCCTTATTACCGGTGACCATGAAAGTGATTCGGTCGATGCACATTACGGAGTACCATAATTTCACCTCACAGTCGTTAAGCAATATCTGAGCTATTATAAAGCACTAATTACAGTGTCATGGAACTATTCCTGAGCTTGATTCCGCTAGCTATCCGTTAGTCTATTGAAAGTAACAAAGCTGTTTATGATATCTTCGGCTACTTACCATATATAAACAATCTATTTTTTCATACGTTTACGCTTGAATAAATAGTAGTACGCTACACATGGTAACTAACAAACAGCTCTCCAATGACCCACAGCTAATGGAAAATCTGACGCCCATACATTCTTAAATTTCATAGACACCCGCCGACTGTCAAACATACGCTGCACATAGGCGAGAGAGAGTGCCAGCAGAACGGATGGTGCCGCAAACTTCGATGCTCAGCCACCTCGTCCACATACTAGTCCGCCACTGAGTTCAATCTAAGCCTGTAACCATATCGTTCCGATGCTACAGAAAACTCACAAAAAGTTTCTTCGAATTGCTCTTTAATACGATGCATTTGTGTAAGCGAACATTTGAAACTGGTCACCAATCGAAAGCTCAGACGCAGCAAAAGCCCCAGCTAAATCCAATATGGCGTCGATAGCCGCCACTAACCCTCCGAGCTTCTAGCCCTTATTTTGTGAAACGGTGCTTGTCTAGCATTGTACCGAGCTGCCCTATGTAATGTTAAGCTCCGATGTGCTGTTGTACGCCAAGTTTTATGATATGATGTCGTCTCCTTGTGCCCATTGCTAGTAGGATTGTTAGATAGGCATAAAATACTGCGCGCCTCTTTGGCTCAGGGCATTCCAGGCAACTATGGAGATGGATCTTACGCACCTTCCGGTCACCAGTATGTGCATTAGTATAGTGTTTGGTGTAAACAAATCGGGATGACGACCTGCTTTAGCCACGAGGAGTGCATATTTGTCTGTCGTTATCGTCAAGTAGATATTTGTATTTGTTGGGTTGTACACAATAGGGTTATATGATGGCTCCATATGAGCACGACGTAGGGACTGTTACATTGTTGGTGGGTTAAGCCCACCGAAATCAATCTCAGGCGTAAAATTGTGTACGTGACATAAGGTTAACATCCAAAACTTCACCTGGTAGTTTTCGTGCTGGTGTGTCATAGTAACAGAGGTTAACTAAGACTATTTGCTAGTTGACTGTAATAAAACGATGACTAACATTCTGCGTCAGGTGGACATTTCGAAGCGACCCTCCTCTTGTGCGCGGGCGCAGTGCTTACAGTTACCCCAAGCTGGACTATACTTTCAATTAGGCTGTTTCGCGCGTTGTACTGATTCGAACTTGATCAACTGCCGACATTTAGATACGAATTCAGTTAACCTACGCATATGCCAACAACATATGTTGAATACATGGCAAACTATATCGAGGTTATCCCACTTCTGGGTAATCAATAACAAAACGATAGCCCCACACAATTATCATCGTGTGTAGTTGGATCTGAAGCCGAAATTCGGTGTCTTTTGTGACACATCGCGTGTCTTACGAAACGCCAGAAATTGCGGTGACCTCGTGTTTAAAATAACAAATATTATGTGCCAAATAATCGCACCTGCGCTTATTATATGCAGGAAGTTTTGGCAGCACTCGTAGTACTTTTTTCTTATGAGTTTCATCCTAATCTGAAGGAAATCACTAGAACTATAGGACCTTTGAAGTGTTGTGAAATTCCTCTATGAAACACCATTACTAGGTGTGTTGATATTTACAGGCACTGCATTAGTTATATTAATGGGCATCTTGCAGTTCTGAGCGCCGAGGATCAGTATTTGGTAATATTGACGTCATGAGTCTATAGAAAGATAAACAATTTATCTCTTTAAAAAAAGTTAAACAATTTAACTTTTTTTTGCACGTGTGCGTGTATATGGTCGCACGTTATATTTTCTAGATATATGTATTTTAATATATATGAGATATTGTGATGTATTAGATTATTTTTTGGCTCGATAAATACGAATTGCATAGATTTTCACCGTTCTTTTGTTGTTTGTGGACGATCAACAGTTGCCTCCAGTGAGGCATCTACTGTCCCCCCAATACCTTCAGTCCATTTGATACGATACGTACCAGATAACTTTTGCCACACTGATGTCATGTTTACGCGCATCCTTCTCCGCCAAGGTTTTTTGAGGGTCTTCGTTAATTTTATTCTTCGTTGCTTAAAGTTGTGTTTCAAAATTTCTGTCAAGTTTAGTTTGTCGAATAGAAAGCCGTTATCTTGATCCGCCGAAGTTAGCGTTGAGATGCTGTAATCGAAATTAATGTTAATGTACGGATGAGAGAAAAACTGTTGCCCTCTTAGACCTCTTGTCGGTTCTCTTCAATTGCTGCGTTCTTTGCTACCGCCTCGCGAATACGCAACTGAAAGTCGATCGCGATGGTACTGACAACGGCGACGACGCCATCGCGTTTTCGAGCATCCGCGCGAATCTCCAGAAAATGTTCGCCTCTCAGAGTTATACGAACGGACATCACAAGGAAATGTTTTGCCCGTTTTACGTCGTCACCACGATCGGCAATGGTGCTGAAGCGAAACGTAAAAATCGAGCTGCGGACGATTTTTCTTGAGGGGACAGAGGAACTGAGCGAGATGTCGGCTAGTGTCGACCATTTACGTATTCCCACTCCTCGCTATTCGTACAGAGATTTATAGATAGCTACACAAATGTTCGTTCCTCTGCGGACAACGGGGAATTATCGTACTGCGGGTGATGTCGATAGCGCACATAACATATTTAGAATTGCGTACGAATGTGACGCGCGGCGACCAGTCTGTGGCGTTTCGAGAGAAACTGTAACAGAAGTAGTTGCACTTTCTGTTGTTCAAGACATCAACAGCGGTAATAACGGCAGCTACTTTTCCGGCGTCGTCAACGCTATCACCGTCAGCGTTGGCATCATTAAGAGCAGCAGTAGATGGGTGATGAAGAGTTGATTTCATAGGACGTGTTTGGTTTCGAAGTTACGCTCTCCTTGGCATTCGGCTGGCGGCGTATGTTTCCAACGGATATGAACTTCTATGACTTGTATTTTACCCCCCGTTCCACGGACCTTAAGTGTTCGATATGTTGCTCAATGTTTACTGTCATTAAAAACCAGTGCACCTAATCCTTGCCTAAACACAGTTTCCTCTGGCAAATGATTGGCTATAATCAGAAGTGAAATGTGATGGTTATATGATAGAAGAATAGTTGCGACCGATGTGGACTTGTGTATGAAGGGCCATACACAAAGAGGTTTACGTTTGTAGCCCTGTGCCAGAATCCTGTGTGACCTTTTAAACGTAGAACTGCTCTTTTTTTTTTAAGGATGTCACCTTGCGTAACTCGAGTGTTTCTGGGGATGCCCGCATCAATTTGCTTAGTGGACAAAGTGACTGCGCACAGTTATGGTACGAAATGAAACATCACGAATCCCCGAAAGCTGTAATGTACTAATTGTCGACGATTTTAATCATATTCATAAAGGAATTGTATGCATTTGGATTGAAGATCCTCAAATTCAGCTGGAATATTTAATATCGCTCGTCTTGCAGGTTAACGAACAACTGTTCACAGCAGCGACTATTTCCGATTTTGCTAAGTATTTACTTCAATTTGATGTTTTACGTGTAACAAATAACTCAGGTGTACATTGAACGGATTTCTGTTCTAATTCATAAGCGCGTACTTATGTAAGCAGATTTAGGAACACGAAAACGAGATTCTGCGATAGTCGCTTGATCTTTTAAAGATTTTGCAGTTCACACAGAGCTAACTGATTGGGTGAGTTGTCTGTGCTATTAAAGTCGATGCGAAGTACATATTGAGCATAGAACGACTCATGCTACTGTCAACTTTTAGTAAGTAAATACGTTAGGTCATTAAGATCAATGCGTCAGTATTCCACGTAACCTTGTTTTTATTGTGCATTCAGTGCGTGGATGTAAACAGTTGTGTTTTCATTATAAGTTTCCAGAAAAAAAAAGTTTTTAGCTTGCTTCTACGTTCATATGTGGAAGTTTGTATTCACATACGATTTTGAGAAATCAGTCCAAAGTTCCTTACGCGTATCCGCCTGCACTTGTTGGTGATGAGATGCATAAAACGGCCTGCATTTCATCTCATGTAGTTTTAAATCATTCAGTACCCAAAAGTCGTAAGGCTAATACATTAAACGTGTTTCTTTTAGTATTTGTTACATTTTTCTAGACCGCGTGGGAATATTATTCTAATGATCACGCAGTATACGTAACATATTATATTACTCAGTGTTCTGTCGATACGAACGGAGAATGAACTCGAATTACTTTTTTTTTTCAGTTACTCCCCGCTTAATATACGAGAGTAGCCATTTAATTCAAGCAGCACGTGAACGACGTTAAAATTGTATTAGCATTTTTCCCAGTTTTTATTTTAACAATGCAAAAAATATTACTTCAGCTTGTCTCTTACACTAAGGTAATTTAGTTAACTGGGCTGCAAACGACAGCGTCAAAGGTCTGGGCCGCCTGCATATTTAAACTTATGCTTTTCAACTTACTGTTTTGAATACTTGTAGGTCGAGGCGTTATTACAGGAACAAGGCCCTTAATATTGCAGAGTGCCAAGGTAGAATTAAATTAAGGTAGAATAGAAGCTTTTATTTTTGACCTAAGTTGCAGATCAAAATGCGTGTAAAGTATGTACTAACTGATTAATCATTTGCATCGTTTTATACTCAAGTGTTTTGTTTGTAGCTAACTGTCAGTTTCATCGCCCCTGCTACCCTGACCTACGGATCTTTCTCTAAAAACTAATTTTCTTAACTAGATTATAAAAAAAAGCTACTTAAAATGGCCCGACTATCATGAAGTGCTACCCTGCGGCAAAATTCAAAGTTCCGGAATTCAGTGACTAAAAAAGGTCTTAGTTGCCACCTATTTATAATGGATGTGCAGTATGCCGCTGGTTATTGATGCAGATTTCCGTTCCGACAATAATTCGGTAACTATATGCAACCAAAACATTATCTTGCTCTCAGGGCAAAATCGACGAAATAGGCTCACCCGTAAGCCGGTTAGAAACAAAACTGAAATATAAATATTAGACCTAACTCGTTTTATGATTACTACATATTCTGCCATACTATATTATTACTACAGTTATGCCATGCTCAGGAATTCAGCTTGTCAAACAGATAGGAGCAACAGCGTAGTCTTATTGAGATACATCTATATACAGATCGCAAGCAGCCGCAGTTCTTTTTCTCCGTGGTCGTATCGTTGTGGTCCAGACACTACAATAATTTTCGTTTCTATAAATGGTAGAAGGAAAACATTACGAAAGTGAAGTTTGATTCTGTCTAATTATTTGACTTAATTCCGTTTTTGTTGCTCATCCCGTATTTTGAAGGTACCAGGTACATGAATGCAGAACCAATGCAAACTAGAGAGATTTACAGACAAAAAAAAATTCTGACCATGAATAAAATTACCAATTTCAGTGTTAATAAAGTATATTATAAAGATATATATTAGTACTATTATATAACAGGAAATAAGCTTTTACGGTTTCAGCATTGTAAGCCTTCGATTTCAATTGAATATGAGCTGGACCGACGAACTATCGGCTAAGCAAGAAAATTTTCAAGCATAGCAAGTGGCACCGTTGTTATTATCGGACAATACAGCAAATTAATGTAACACCATCTTATTTGTGGTTTCACGTTTTTTTCTGACCTGAATAGACCGAATGGATAGTTCGGTCGCTGGTGCCACGGAAGGCGCTGTCGTACCAGCCGGTGTCGTCGAGCCTGCGAGACTGGAACATTCGTCAGATAAGCATCCACGACAAGCCCTTGATGCCATTAACGTACTTCGACTTCATCGGGAACTTTGCGACGTCGTCCTCGTCGTCGGGAGTAAGAAGATCTTCGCTCATCGAATTGTGCTATCGGCATGCAGTCCATATTTTCATGCCATGTTCACTGGCGAATTGGCTGAAAGTCGACAAACGGAGGTAAGCTCTCGTCCTTTTGCTTTGCTAATGAAGGTGTTCCCTAGGCCATTTTTATATTCCATAGTATTTACATTTAGTTTGGATAAATATGTATATTGGTACAGATTCAATTATAGTCGGACCATACGCTATGTATACAAATGGTTAAAAGGTCTGGCGCCTATTGTGTAATTACGAGGTCGGGTTTTTTGCCAGCTATATATATGGATACGCAACGTGTGATCTTTGATGAAACCATATTTCGTTAGCGTATCCAGCTCGATCGGAACGAAGTCCGGAATCATTTTAGGTTTCGAGCGTGTCAAGAAAAAAAGCAAAAATAAAGACTTCGGTTTTAGTTCATCCTTTGGAGGTCATCGATCGCATCCGATCACCACAAAATGCAGTTTCGAAAGCGGGCCACAATTAAAATGTAGGTGGGTGCTTAAAACTATTCCATACACGGATGTCTTCAGAAAACGGATGATTGTAAGAAAACACGAACGATATGATCTACTTCCATTAAGCTCCCCTGACAGGCCGCAGTATAACGACTTCATTCAAAAGTGAATGTGGCCTCGTTTTTATTCTAAGAGACGCTGCATTCACTCATCGGTATCAATGTAACTTCTTTTCGAATGCAGAAGAACCACTACTTTTTTGCATTATTAAAAATAGCATTATAAACATTATGGTGTTTTTCTTTATTATTCTTTAGTATAACTTTGTTTTCGTTGTTGATTTGTTTGTTGAAAGTTTAATGATAAATCTGAGTGTTTTCATCTGTGTTCAAACAGTCTCAGGAGCGAACAGACATCAGCACCTAATGAAACGGCCGAAACTAAAAAAGAAGATTATTTAGAAAATATACAGGCTGCAAAAAATGAAACTGAATATATTTATTGCGTAAATCATTAAGTCTTTATTTTGAATTTGTACGTAATGATTGTCCTATTTTGGGAAAATAATTGACCTTATTTCACTTACAGCTTGGACATCTTCTCTTTGTATACACTACAGCTATTAATTAGCCCTACTTCGGTAATGTTGTCACTAATCAGGCCATTTGCTACATTTGCAGGTAACGATTCGCGACATTGATGAGTTTGCTATGGAGTTAATTGTGGATTTTGCTTACACATCACGGATCGTCGTCCAAGAGTCAAACGTACAGATGTTACTGCCAGCGGCCTGTTTACTCCAGATGACAGAGATTCAGGAGGTGTGTTGTGAGTTCCTCAAACGTCAGCTTGATCCTTCCAACTGTCTCGGCATTCGTGCCTTTGCAGATACCCACGCCTGCCGAGAGCTACTGCGTATAGCCGACAAGTTTACTCAGCACAATTTCCAGGTACGGTACTAACTTTGCTTAGGAATGCTTTTATTATAATACGTACAACAATCGGAGCATGTCAGAATAATCCACTTTGGCTCTTAATCTAGTTCTTATATGACTTTAATGTACTATAGATGAGCATCGAATATAGCTCAGATCTGATATATATATTATAGTTGTAGAGTATGTCTTTTCTAACATAATCATATCCAGACATATGTGCCTCTGTTTCGTAGTAAATACGTTTCAGCCTATCGGGCTCTTCTCGGTGTTGTCCTAGGGGAAATAGAAACAATTTTATCAGTTTCTATATAAACTAGTTTTATACGATAAGATGAAATTTTCTATTCTTGGTCGAAAATGCTGTTTAAGCCTGGTTATTTGATTGCGACACTCATACTCGCCCTCTTTTCCTCGTTTGATCTATGTTTGGCCTCGCGTGGGCACTGCACGATTGCTACCGAGTTGACAGGCTGATTCTCTGTATAGCACACGAAAGTAAGGATGCATTACACCGGCGAATGCGGCAAGAGAGGACATGAAATTATGCGTCCTGGACCGTTTTGTGTAAATGCACGCCGGGTTTTTCTGCGTCTTCTCAGGCCCAAAACGTCAGCAAGGCCCCATATGGGGCAGGAAAGGGCTATGGAAGGAGTGGGTTAGGATATGGGAAGAATGATGCCGACCTGACACACCCATCACTGACCCAATGGTAATGGATCCTATTCGACGTTGACCGATCTGTGCCTAACCTTTTTTCTAATGCTTTTCCCATGCAGAAAAGAGAACTGATACGTATCGGTCAGCCTATTGAGCTGGCGGCTTTGGTCACAAGCGACTGCCGTCGTTGTCAGCTATCTGCTCCGTATCCCAAAAATAAAGCGACATACTATCTAAGTCTACACAAGTATCTATGTGACATAGACCTACCTTCCTCCTCCGTCTTACACTCCAATGTAGGGTTAGTTGCTTTTAAAATTAGTTGTGTAGATAAACCTGTTTCGTAAAGAAGCCTTCCGCATTGTATCTATTCATGCTTGTGAATAACATGCTGTTGGACACAATATCAAGTTAGTCATGCCAATTATCAGGTCACCCATTTATTTAAACCTTCCCGCCACATTCCAACCCTGTTTAATCCCGTCATCATTACTGATGTATATTGATGTTTATTTTGGAACTATAGAGCCTTTTGTTAAATCTCAATTTAATCGTAGAATACGAACATGTTTTTTTTTTTTTACTAAAATTACACTAATAATGTATCGCTTAATACAAGAAGGCGCTTTCCGTGAGCTATACCGCATGTGTGGGAAAACCAAATTTCGTTCTACGGTGTTCTTTATAGATTTGTCTTCTTATTCTGTTGAAAACAATTTCTTAGGTTCCTATTTCATAATGCGTCTACGAAAGAGATGCTGACATTTTGTGGTATTGATATAACTGTCTGTTTTCCTTTAAATATTGTTTGGGCCATGTTTCAAGTCTACCTCTTTATAAAATAATAATGTAAAGATTATTGCGATTTTACTGGCGATGGGACGGTTGACATTTTCAGAAAGAAAAAAAACTGTGTCAGTCCTTAGCGGCGACACCATTGCTTTTAAAATCAGTCGCATTTTTTGACGTGTTTATTCAAAATATTGACGTTTTTAGGAAGTCATGGAGTCTGAAGAGTTCCTTCTGTTACCGGTAAACCAGCTAATGGACATAATCTCCTCGGACGAGCTAAACGTTCGCTCAGAGGAGCATGTATTTACAGCTGTTATGTCATGGGTGAAGCACAACGTTACCGAACGTCGCCAGTATCTTGGTCAGATCCTCGGCCACGTACGGTTACCACTGTTAAGTCCAAAGTATCTCGTCGGTACAGTCGGAAGTGATCTTCTCGTCAAAAGCGATGAGATCTGTCGCGATTTGGTCGATGAAGCCAAGAACTATCTCTTATTACCTCAGGTAAGTAAACATTTGATTAATGGAGGCACTAATGGAATTGGAAAGCTCAAAAAATCCATACAGTTCGTGCGATTAAAAAAATCTGAGTCAATAAGTTTTATACAGAAATTAATGCTACGAACTCCAAAATGTGTTCACCCGTAACACATCGTATTACATATTAACCGGTAGTAAATACCAGTTAGGTATTATGCCACGTATATCCTGAATTAGATCACTCGACATTACATGATGTTCTGCGAACAAACAGGTAAGGACTAATTTTGCAGTTAGTTGTTGAAGCTATCAGACAAAGACGCTACAATATAGATAGATTAGGGAAACACAGATCACCAAGTATTTCTAAACAGTGCAGGAGTATAATTCCATTGTTATTGTTATTACTTCGAATTAGGCTTCGAATTGCATTTCGCTGTTGTAGGAGCCCGAATTGTGAAATTATGTAATATTCAATAGCATCTAGCCTGTTTTCTGCAGAAGTACATACGAAATACAGGCGGCGTATCTATTGTACGATGATAAAGTTAAGAAAAGGGCGAATGATGTTAAAGAGAAGTAAATAGGAATGAGCTGAATCTTCCTAATCCTGTCGATTAGAAATACTTTCATCATAAAAGGAACTATCCGTGCTTCGTTTATCATGCACAGTTGTATTGAGGAATGTCTTCGAAATTTCGCGAAATTCATATGGCGTTTTCTTTTGTCCGCATACGCTTAAGACTTGCTTGGATCAATCATTGTTTTAATTCTGCGTAGGAACGACCTCTAATGCAAGGTCCTCGCACTCGACCACGGAAGCCAGTGCGCCGGGGAGAGGTTCTTTTTGCTGTGGGTGGTTGGTGTTCCGGGGATGCGATAGCTAGCGTCGAACGCTATGATCCGCAAACAAACGAATGGCGCATGGTAGCTCCGATGAGTAAGAGACGCTGCGGAGTCGGGGTGGCTGTACTAAATGATCTACTTTATGCTGTCGGAGGTCATGACGGCCAAAGTTATCTTAACTCGATCGAGCGATTTGATCCACAAACGAACCAGTGGAGTTGTGACGTTGCCCCAACTTCCAGCTGCCGAACCTCAGTCGGAGTCGCTGTTCTCGACGGGTAGGTAATGGCCGTACTAAACAGAAGTACAGCACAAAGAACTAAGAGAAGTTCTGACAGTAGATTTATAATACTTTGTAGTGTGCTTGTGTGCGACACGAAGCATATATCTAGATTAAACTATTTGCTTTTCAGATTGTCCAGCCCAAAACTCTCTTGCCATTATTACATAATTGTTTAGAATTTTTCGGAACAATCGAGTGCTATTTGCATGCTTCTATATCGCATGGTATATTGAACTCTATACCATTTATGCATGTGCTAGCAGCTTTTAAGTTTCTGGAAAGAGAAACAATCTACTAAATATTAAGTAAGTTTAAGTGATCTACATTTCAATATTGACGTATCGTAAGAATCTCGATGTATATATACAGAACGATATACAGAACCTATTAGATACGATTGCCAAAAATAACGTTGTGTTATTGAATAGGTATTTATATGCTGTAGGCGGTCAAGACGGTGTGTCCTGTCTCAACTTTGTGGAACGTTACGATGCCGAGAAAAACCGATGGACAAAGGTTGCTCCTATGGGAAGCAAACGCCTGGGCGTAGCAGTGGCTGTTTTAGGAGGAAATCTCTACGCAATGGGTGGCAGCGATGGAACATCGCCTCTTAACACTGTTGAGCGCTTCGATCCGCGCACAAATCGATGGACGTGCGTGGCACCGATGGGCACAAGGTGACGACTTGTAGCATTTGATTGTAAACTGTAATATGCTAGTATGAACTTAGTAATAAGGCTGTTTTTATCAAGTTGGACAAACACAACGTGTGTACGCAGTAAAACACCAGCCTAAACCTGTGGTTTCCCGGGCTCGGCATTACAGGTGTTCCTTCTGAGCAATGAAAGCTACCACTGCACGGTAGTTTTTTCAGCTCAGACATGACTTCTCCATGGAGAGCCATTATTATCGAGTATATAGCGATCGTTTAGTTTTTCTTACTATTTCTTACTTTTGATGCCAATTACAGGCGAAAGCATCTCGGCTGCGCGGTGTATAATAACATGATCTACGCTGTTGGCGGTCGCGATGATACTACTGAATTATCCTCAGCCGAAAGGTATAATCCTCAGCTGAACACTTGGCAGCCCATCGTCGCTATGACGTGTCGGCGAAGCGGTGTTGGGCTAGCGGTGGTTAACGGTCTACTTTACGCGGTTGGCGGGTTTGATGGAACGACATACCTCAAAACGATTGAAGTTTACGACCCAGATACTAACCAATGGAAATACTGCGGTAGCATGAACTATCGGCGACTTGGAGGCGGTGTTGGGGTGGTACGGTTGCCTCAATGCGATATGACAACACATTTCTGGTAAATGAGAAATAGAACGGATGCAGCAGTAACCTAGAAAGAATCTAACGATGAAGGACATACCTTAGTTATAAATAGCTCTTTTTAAAGGTGAAGGTCGTGTGAACTGCTCGAAACTGTTGATACTCGTCTAGTTGAAATTAAAGGACATCTTTCGCAATACACCGTATCAACGTAAGAAGGATCAAAGTGCATACGGTAAGCTCGGCTCTTTTTCATGCAGTGAACTATGTGAGCTGACGCCAACCAGGAAGACTTGTAATACTAACGAAAGGATGCGGGCCACGTCAAGACCGGTGACGCACATGACGTAGTATATTTAATTTTGACGACGAGTTGATAACTAAGAAAGTTCAGGTGGAAGTTCGTTTCGGTGATGAATCGCTAATGATTCTAGTTCACACTTATGGTATGTATACACATATATACAAAACACCGCACCTAGAGGCTTGTGTTCAATTGAGAATGAACTTTGTACGAGCGATAGTGGGGTGGCCTTAATTCTACAAAATGCTCTGAATCCGCATCACTCTGGTGTTGTAGTTATTACAGATTTGACTAAAAATCATAGATTCCTGACTGTAGCAGAGCTGTTGTTACTGTATACTAATGACAAGTATAGGAGAATACACGTTAACACTACTAGTTACACGAGGCACACAGGCATTGTGAATGCAAATCTTATAAGCGTTTGTATGGGTGCGTGCATTGGCCATCTGCCTAAGGCGTGACATAAGTTTGCTGTTGCTCACTCATTGCTAACCCTGTAACATGGCCATTAATTAGTCTTACAAGTAAATGTCCGCCAGCCAAGAGGAGAGTGGAACCAATGTCACTGCAACAAGCAGCCGATCTTTAGGTCATAAGTGTCATAGTTTTATTTGTATTTGAATATTTACTTGTGTACTCATGGTTCTTCCGTACATTATATCTATGTAGTGTAGCGTTTATGTACAAAACTTGATATTCGGTCGTTTTAGAGACAGTGTGCTTCAGCTCTGTGAGACGGCCATTTAAACATTTGTAAATGAATCGCGCTGAACGGTCCTGAACATCGCAAACTGAATTTGAAGTACAACTATTTTTTTTTATCTATTTAGTGAGAATAAGTTCAACTTTTAGCGGTTCAAAAGAAAGATCTAACCAAGCGTCTATCACTGATTTGAAAACAACTCTATTGAAAAAATAAAAACATACAAGTAATCAGGTCAATGGCTATCTAATGCTGACATCAATTGATGATCAAGTAACCATAAACAACTATGCTGATAAGTGTACGTCGATAAAACGCTTAAAAATACATACTTTTAAATCATAGATGAACAACTAGTTTTAATTGCGTTGAATGAACAGGCAAACGCAGATGAGTTGCAAAATAAAGGTTCTGTGTCGAACCGCTTATTTTTTAGATTGGCAGTTCGAGGTTAGTCTGTTTATCCTGTTTATATATTCTTGAATACCTGTACTGCGTTGAGTATTGTGTAAATTTGAAGACGGTCTCGCATAATACATTATAGGAAAAAAATAAAAAGACAAATATGGCAGTAATGAAATCTTTATCAAGTGTCAGACATTAATGTGTGAGCTATAACTGTGAAATGGTAAAAAAAAAAAGAAAAAGTGATTCATGTGGAACAATCTCAATTACTGCAATTGTTGAAAAAACCGATTAACCACACATGATTGCTGATTACTCCATATGACTGAGGGCTAATACGAGTGTTTCTAAAAAATAATTGTTAGATTGTATGGTGAATCTTTTAGGGACGTGTTTAGCAAAGAGCGGAGCTAAAGGAAAGTAAACATACTCTACACATATAAGTCGCTAGCAAACGACAAGGCAGCATTTTCAGCCGCTTCAGTTCTTCCATAATTATTTTGATTTTTAATGTATTAAATTATTGTTTATTAAGCCATCCGTAAACCTTCAGTAAAATGAAAAGGGATAAACATACATATAGAACTAAACTGGTGATCACATTCTGTTCACGCGCGGACGCAGCCAATATTACCCTGGATGCGCATTAAGGGAAGCATAACTATTGGCATAAAAACGAACGATTGTAGCCCTTACTGTTGGAAATTATCAATGTATATATAGATGTCTTCGTTATCATACGGATGTCTCGGTGAGATGTGTACTGAAACAAGAAACGAAATGAGTAAATAGATGGATAACTACATATGGTGTGTAAGCGAAATGTGTAGTAAGTTGAATCATATAATAGATATGAGTACTATGAAGGTGCTTCGCGCAGATCTATAAAATTTTTCATGGAACGATAAGGGTGATAGTGTTATTACACAGAGCTACTACGTAAATGAGAATAAAATGCATGTTCTCCTAACTAGAACTTTCCACCTATCTATTTATACGCAATTTTATTCACGAATATCGAAGAAAATAAAGCTCAGTGCATACGCCCTTAACATGCTGATAACATGAAGTGAAAAATTGCTTAATACAAATTATGCTTATAATGGTTTAACATAATCCTATCTATGCATCTACAAATGAACAATACCTTAATCTGCAAAAGGACATTGAAACAGCTTGATGATATCATACTCTTTTGCCCCCATTGCTGTGTCAGGTCAAAAAAAAAACGACAAATTGTAGTTCTAACAAACCGAGCAAGTTTTTCACATTCTCCATTTAGATTTGACTAACAGGATCATCGAATGCATGATTTACAAAGAATTAGAGAAGTTACCCATGCTTTGCAAACGCATCATGCAACGATTTCCTTGAACTATACTTCTACCTTTTGTTTATGATTTGTTTCAAGTCAGCCAAGGACATCCTATCGTTTATTCAAACTCGTCAAAATTGCTCGTCGATCTTTTTTGCCTATGTTATTGCCTTCGGTTGGCACAAATTGTATGACCTGGTCAACAGCCAATGTCGGAGACAAACGAATTCACAGAGGCTTCAGATTTCCAGACTATGCAGAGCGTGCAATCCTTTAAAGCACTTTAACATTTATGATGGAAACGAAAGCGAACGAGGGGACGCTACACTTAAATACGATACAGTAAGAAACATTGTAATCAAGTGCGATTGCGAAATTGCCTTAGAACCTGCGCGTCTGTCTTCGATCATTCGTTTTCGGCGACACACGGACAAGCAGTTCAGGCAATGCAAAAAGGCGGCTGTAATAGCTCGCACCTTAATAGCCGTAAGAACCATGGTACTAGCTAGGTCCATTATGCTAAATAATCCTTACAAAGCTTACGCACTTGAAAGTAGCATTTATGTTTATCGCGCAGTTTATTTCTATGTCGCAAGAAACGGCTAGTTTGATTTCAGTTGTTTGGCAGTTGTATATTTCCATGACCTTGTCAAATTTTATTTATGTAGGCATCTTTTCAAATAAAAAACTATTCTAATGTAATATGTTATCGAATACAAAGGTTGACAACTACCACAGTATGGCATATAGTAACGTGGCAATTTATTCGAACAGAACAATGTAGTCATAAGTACCTAGAGTCAACCATAAAATGAATCTGATTATGTTTCAGTGCATTAACGGAACTACAGTATATGCGCTTGCCAATTAGCCATAATGTTTTGTTCTCTATATATTGTGCAAATTCAACTAAAAATAAGAAACCCAAATATAATAGATATTGTAATGTCGTTAACGTGTTTATCGCAAAAGTTAAAATAAGTGCATGCTTTTTGTAATTTGAATTCAAAAATTCGCTACACTTTAGAAGAAATTAATTAGGCAGATATATATATATGTATATATATACACAACTTTTATACACATGTACAGACCAGGGTTAGCCATAATCTTCTCTTGCGTGTGAGTAAACACCACAAAGAAGTATTCAGTTATTTTACCCCAACTGTGTGAAACTACTAAGCGTTGCAGCTTTTTCATTGTGTGTACACTGTTGCCGTCTGGCTGGATTCAACCTCTACTGTATTTTATAACATACTGTCTCATTTGCACTTTTCTAAGTTTTACGTTAAATATTATTATATTTTTCTGTTTACATTATTTTATTTATACATTTTTCTGTTTTCCCTTAGTGCTACTCACAAATTGTTGTTTCGCATTTCGAAGGAAGCATTTGTCTACAATTGATCAAATAAATGTCAGAGTCTACTCATGGTGGCCTACAGCAGCGGTTACCACTGCATAAATTAATGGATGGATTTTGATGTGAGATGTTATGACTGAAGAACAGGTTTTTGGACCGATGCTGTTAACTGGTCGTTCGTAGATGAGAAGCCGGTGCCTCCACGTTGCATAATAATAATATCTTTCTGCTCAAGCTTCATTCCGTTAATCGGATCAATGCCGTCCTTCTTTATTACCTGAAAAATTAGTGACAGACATCTTGTAGCACCGCCTTCTAAATAAGATCATATGAAAAAACTATTCTTATATATGCCTTGCTCAGCCTGGAATAATGCACTCAAAAATGGCCGCAAGCACAAAGCTTTGCAGCACCATGTATTCGATTTAGTCGGCGTGACAACCCTCCATGACGTGTAGCTAGAAGCAACTCATTTACTAGATGGTGGCTGGGTGCATGGAGTGGCGGAAATTGATGGCTCGTACTCACAATCAAGTGTAAAGTTTTGAGAAAATAAATATGAAACAAGTAAAAAGCTGGAACTTTCAAGCACATGTGGTTTTAAACAGCTGCTTGTTTTGGCACAAGCTTGGAGACTGCATTTATCGTACAGCGATTGTGAAACGACCAGATGAGCATAATAACTTAAATAAAATGTTCATACTTGAGTTTTTACCTTCTCGAGACATTCTACCGTGACTACATTTCCCGATGTCCTAAGATACGCGCACGGAACAGAGTTACTGAGAACGTCGTGTGAAACTGCACACATATAACGGGCTTTTTTTGCGATAAGAGATTTGCCTTGGCCATCATCGGGAAGCAGAGTCCATCGTACAGGGTACAATTTCTTGGCTTTAATAGGTTTACCACTCATTGGACATAATACCTCCGTGTCTGGTGCCTTCAAAGGTGCCGTAGAACTTGTAGAAGCCTAAAAAGACCATAAACAATGAAATTAACCATTATGCATGGACAAGCTCTGCAACAATATATGTCCTACAGTTAGATGATCCATTCCAAAAATTATGCAGCATTCCATATGGATGCTTGTTATCTGGAATTGAGAATTTCTTGCCATGTGAGGCATATTTCCATAGGTAAGTAGAAAAGTCCATTTTAGTAGCTGCCGGACAATTTGAAACACAATGTTCGGCGACGAACTTTTTGGCATTCAACCCAAGTAGACGTGGTCCTCCTAGCTTACAGGGTCCTCCTATAAGAAAAAGATACTTTTCCATCTGCCTTAAAAGTTTCACAGAGTAACTCATTAGATTACTCGCTGTTCTGCGTAGACATTAGACAAACTTGTCTTATTCTCTTTTAGACGGTTCAGTGGAAGGTTATGCAAAAGTGATTTCAAAAAATATACAGGGGAACATCGACTGCACGGCGGCGAGTGGCCTCCTCGTCAACTCTACTAAATGTACGCTATGAACAAGATCGGGACCCAACAACGACGACCCCACTTCATGGAACACCGTTAACTTCTTTCGAAGTAACTACAAATCAGCTAAAACAGAAGCTTCAACACTTTTAGGGTCACTTATTGTATCAAAAGGATCTCATCTTCGGAGATAATATGAGAGATATAGCTCATATCAAGTATTTTTTTGGTTGCGACTCATTGCAACAACTGGTACTTCCTCCGATTGCACGGTAATACCTGTATTTCAGTCGTGTGTATGCCTTCATATATAATACGGTTCACCTCCTTAGGTCTCAAACTGATGTCAATGAAACAGATAGCCGATGTTCGTCTCTCATCGTTCCAGAGGCAACAAACTGCTCTGTCAGTATGATTTCATGGTTTTGGAATCGACACAAAGATCAGGTTAATCCTTTTGTAGGTTGCGTCATATCTCTAATCTTCACCAAATGAACTGGTTACTGCTGTAGCATTGGTATAACTTGAACTCTTAATAAAATCATTTATTATAGCTATTAGGCTAAATTGTGCCTGATTAAAAATCAGTCTAAAAGGAATGGGACATTAGAGTAACACGCAAAACGTTGTTTGAACAGCTACGTATTACTAACGATCTTCTCAATGGATTAGCTTAAGAACAGTATAATAATCACCAGCGGTTCAATGCGTTATTTTTGGTGACTAAAGGGACATTTTTTGAACACAGAACTCCCCGGATAGCAAAAGGACTTCGTCTTCATGTTAGTCTTGTAAAAGCTCATGCCTGTTCTTACGGGCCAAGGACTGAGATTAGAAGTTCTTTGCTTAAATTTAACACGCGTAAACGAACAATAATATTGTACAGTTACTAAAATTAGCATAAACCTCAAAGTTCGAATTTGGTAGGGGACCCAAGACCGGACGGCTTTTATCCCACTTCCTCAACACAGGAAACACAATATCACGTAAGCGGGATTACATTTGAAACCACTAGACTGCCAGAAACCATATCTTAGATTCTACTTAATGTGAATATAAGAAAATAAGTTCTGTCAGATCACGAGAGCTTTTATTAAAAAATTGTCACTGCCATAGCCATTTTACGTTTACAAGGTCACTTTGCCTAAAAAGATCAGAAGTTGGCAGCAAATCATGGGGTGCGTTTAGATAAACGTTTTCGTTAAATAATTGTAAATGCCTTGAGGATGCTGATGAATATTGAGGTACAACTTGTTCATCAACTTATTAAAATCTTTGGCAAGCCGACAACTATTGCAACGAAATTACAAAGCCAATCTAAGGTAAGTTAACCAGAAAAAAACGAGATTACTGACCTGTGGAGTAAGAGAAGGGATCCAAAAAGAAGGCAACGCGGGCTTGTCTTCATTGTTTTTTATGGATGTTAAATGTTTTAACTTTTTGGCTTCAGGTGGCTTTAACTCATCGTCGCGTTTATCCTTTTGCTGTTTTTCGAACGCCTTCTGCTTTTTTGCAATGGCTAATTTTTGTTTAACGATATACTCGAGAATTGCTTCGCGGTCATACAGATACCCTTCAGGTGTAATCACTGGATCACTGTGATTAACACACAAAAAAAGAGGCTTCATTAGTCCTTGCTGTTAAGTTATGCTGTAGGAACCAGCAAAAAAACAGAACAGGCTTTTGACTCTTCAATTGTTTGGTTCTAGTTGGATCATACGTCTGGTAAGGTGTAATGTTATCGTTTCTGTGGGTGTCATTTTCTCTGCGGCGAAGTATTTCCTGACTTAGTCTAAAACAATAAAACCATTGGTACCATGGGCGCATGACACTTGGTTAGAACCAATCAGACTAACCGACATGGATGGAGAGTGAGACAACAACAATCGAATTCTCTCTGGGCATCCTTCCCCAGACGCTCCTTTTGTGTCCCATAACCACCCTGCAAAAAAAACGAACCGTATAATAAGAATTTTGGTAGTAACACAAAAAGTAATACACTTCGACGTTGTATTTATATTTGGGAACCTACCCGACTTTCACTTTTAGGTACAAGGTTTGTACTGTAGCCTCGGGAGTGTAAGACAGAATGGTCTTGTGAGCTCAGGAATACTCATTTTATATGACAATTATGCCCAGACGTGATAAACAGGACTTCAAGGCTGACTTTTATGCGTACTGTAACGTCGTCCTGTCTACAGTGAATTGCTCCGAAATACCTACTTCGTATGCTGGTATTAGCCGACAGAACCTAAAGTCGACACTTCATAACATGTTAAAACTAACTCTTATAGTAATAAAATTTGAATAGATTTTTCATTATCTTCTGCAACAATCATGACACAGTTTTTGCACACAATCGTATACATGATATTAAATATTTTAAAACAAAACTTGTTGTGTGCAGTCTGTCGTGGATCAGCTCTGGCCCGATTAAAAAACGCGACTATTGTTGCTGCCGCCTAATTTTGTGCGCACAACTGCTATAAAAGATAATGGTAATAATACGCCATAATGAATTGATAATGTTGTGACAATTTTGAAGGTAAGCGAACAACAGAGACATTTGTCAAGCGCCTATGGGCAATAACGGAGTATATACACTAGAATAGACTTAGTGCTGGCATTATCCAATAGATACACGCGATCTGAAATTACCATTTTCATATCTTTCATCTTCTCGTGGTACGTGTACACACTCCCCGCAGTGCAATTTTTAGCGTGTCGGGTCATCTTTAAACTCCTCAGGTCGAATCGAAATGTTAAAACACGAGTAACAACCGATTGAGCATAAAACTGGAAACTGAAAATGGACTAAATCACTCGTCACAGCCAATTGGTCGAGTCTATATATATTTAAGCAAACACTCGATCAACACGTTCTAAAGGAAATATTGCAGTTCTCGGTTTTCAAAGTTGTTTACCAACAAATAAGGGAGCGGTGATAAACGCATTGCGGGCAGCAAGTGTGCTATGGCAAACGATACATGTCCAGTTTCTGATGTACCTAGTATTAGTATCCAGTTTCTGCAACACTAGTCAATCTATTGAAGACGTTAACTTGCAGTAAGCCAGCTCTGATTGGCTTCGTATGCTGCTTAGGCTGAGCCCTTGCATATCCTTCTGTGAATTCTTATGTATTTCTTATAGCGCGTTAATATACTGTCAAATGTTGTATGAATTTATATACATACATGTGTATATGCCTATTGGCGTAAAAGTCTTAAATTCACAGAATTACTTATACTCAATATATAAACTGTAGCCCTAATCCTGAAAAATATTTCTGTCCTTTCTAATCTATCAAGATGCAGTTTATTTATGATAAGTATTTACCAAGAAAAGTGCAGGTGATCTTTAAACTAGCATATATTGAAGCACTTCGCTTTATTTAGAATTTATTCCCTTCACTAGAGGCTATCGATACTTTTCTTTAATTGTTCTTGAACTGTTTTGTTTCTTTCATTTATTCTTAAGCCATCAATGACTTGTTTAGTAAACACATATCATAAATTACACTTTAATAAACTGAGCTAAACGTTTGGCGTTTTACGTCTGGTACCGGCGCTAGTCATATTTCCATCAGACAGACATCAACAGACAGACGGCCGGCTGGCTTCCAGCCATTACGAAATAAGTCGTGTGTCTATGCCCAAATTCGGACCCTAACTTAATTCGAATTCCTAACACTATCCTAAACTGTTATGTACAACGTCATTATGGGGACACCCTCTGCTATACTACAAACGAATAACTATCAAAATTAGAACCGGCACCTCTAGAGTAGCTTCTCATACACTGGCATAATACAGCCGATTTAGGCGCAATATATAGTGACTTTCCACATTGTTTCCCTCTCCACGTCAACGAAGTCGGCCCAGTACCAGACACGCTCATTTTTGTTCTATGTGGTTCCTGCAAAGGTCGTTGATTCCCCAGCGTTCTTCTTGTATTATGCAGCATACGTGAAGCAATCCGAATGAATTTCTTCTCTCCTATTCGTTTACAGCTGGCGACAGAATTTCAGCTGGCCGCAATGAAAACTCTAGAATTAAGCGTATAAGTGGATCCTAAAGTGTACACGCGGTTGATCGTGATCTGAGCGTCCAAGGGAGAACAGACCTGCGACAGATTTTCGGGTATGACTATATTATTTTCATGGTTGAGACGATGATGGCAAGTGCCGCGCTGTCATCAAACTTAGGTTCCGAAAATTCTAAGAGACACTGACGTGTCCTTATACATGCGGCCTGTACATGTTCACGAAGGTATTTTTTTCTAATTCGGAAAAACTTATCATTTTAGAAAATCTTCTCATAAGTACCTATAGTTTTTACGAAGTAGCCATTTGGTCTTAAAGTTCGTGATCAAATGAGCTATGCTATTGTTTTGGTTGAAACATATAAGTCAGGCCTGAAGGTGCAGTAGTTGCAGTGGCCAGTATTTACGATGGTTGTTCGCAATAAAACCGATCGTCGATAATGCTTATGAGTTCGATCTATCGGCTGTGACCTGCAAAAACACTCTTGAATACAATGAGGCTATCATGAACGATTCTGGCTAAGGTGTGCTATTTTCTTCGTTTCCGTTATTCTACCGAGGGCCAGGTGCATGAAAAGCGCGACAATGTCACTCTATATTACGCTGTTTACGATTGCCCTCTTCTTCACAAACGTGTTGGCATTTGTGGCAATGTACGTACGTAGTCGAAAACAAAGCCAAACAGGCGAAAAACGAAGTTATGGCTTTTTTCATCCATACTGCAATGCTGCAGGCGGCGGCGAACGTGTTCTTTGGACAGCGATCTTGACCATCCAGGAAAAGTACGTTTTCGCCTTCACAATTTAGAAAAGTGTATGATGTTATACGAAAAAAAATGTATGAAGAATTATTAATGAACTCAAACACCATTTTTGACAGCTTTTGGCACATAACGATCAATTCGTTGAGGGGCATATCATTTTTGAACAGCTTAATTTAAAAAATCTTTTTTTTTTCAGAAATACATTGGGATCGTCGTTTTTTTTTTGAAAAAGTAGATCTTATGCCTTTTGTAAAGTACTAGTATCAGGTGGCCGTGACATATAGCGTTACCTTTACATCTTGCTCCGCAAGGTATATTAGATGCGTGTTATGATCACGGTAAAAAAAATTGTTACTCAGCTGTGTACCTAAAGTGATGTCTAAAATGGTATTTAATCATTTTCTAGCTATCCAGATGTGGCCATTGTCATCTACACAGGAGACACCGATGCCACCCCAGATGAGATCATTGCGAACGCAGAAAGGGTCTTCCAAGTGCGGCTGCTTCGTCCAGTACAGTTTGTCTATCTTCAGTCGCGTTTTTTGCTTGAAGCCAAGTAGGTTGATTTCCCTGCGCTGGTCACTACATTAACAATTTACGCATATTTGTTGCTGCTAGTGCAATGTTGACGCGATGCCAGGTGTGAAATTCGAAACATTTATTTAACTACTTGTTAATCATAGATCTGTAATAAACAAGTAGATAAACAAACGTAGACACATCACAACAAATCGCATTTTTATTATTATTGAGTTTTAGTTGCGTAACATTAACTACTAATAAATTTTTCATTAACATGTACTCTGTTATGCGACATTACAGAGCTTATTGAAATGAGTTTGGTTTTCCCAAAGAATATTCAAAGTGGCAGTTTCTTACCCTAAGTATGACCATTAACAAGGTACTCGTTGAACCGATTCTTGCATTACAGGTATTATCCAGTGTTTACATTGCTGTTGCAGAGTCTAGCCTCTGTGCTAGTTGGTCTCGAAGCTATCCTAAAATTCACTCCAGATGTCTATTTTGACACCATGGGTTTCGCTTTTACATTGCCAGTATTCAAAATGTTTGGTACGAATATTTACGAATATTAGGTACTTTGTGCTTCAATTATACATTGACAATTCAACATTATTGTGCAATAAAGTACATCCATTATCTATTACACCATATGATCGTACGGCAGTGTATGTTCGTTTACGGTCAGAAGACAGATATTGAGGGATTTCTTTACAGGAGGATGTCAAACGGCTTCGTATGTTCATTTCTCGACGATAAGCACAGACATGCTGTGCGCTGTTCACTCGCGCCGTCCCGGAGTAACTAATCGTGAAGTGATCTGCCGAAGCCGTATACTCAGCATTGCCAAGCTTATATACTACAAGGCTTTCGCCGCAATCTACGGCTGGATAGGTTGTCTGTTTAGCGACACTACGATGGTGAATTCCAGCTGGACAAATGGTTAGTAAAATCCATCCATCTATGTACATGCACACCGCTTGCATTGACCCTTGTTTTTATCCTACCTTTATTTGCTTAGCGCCTTACTCAAATTTTAATGCCACTAACGATACGTGAAACTGACCGGGAAAGAATTTATTAAACAAAATTAAAATTAAAAAAATCTCAATGAAAAATTGTTTTTCTTAAAGTATATGCAAATTAATTTTTATATTTATTATTATGAAGATGAATTTTAGAGGGTAATTGTAAGTTTTCGTTATTCACCCAGACTAGAACTAGAAAATAAAATCGTTCTCTATCGCAAATTATTTTATACAAACTGTAATTAAATGTTGAGTAAATGGCATATTAGGACATGTTAGGGCATATTAGGTTCTTTAACAGTATTATACCCCAAAAAATGAACTGAATCAGTGAGGCAATTAGTTGCAGCATCAGTGCTGACTATTGTTAAGGTTTTACCAGCCTAATGGAGGTTGCATTTATTCATGGAGTATCTTGAAGCCAAATGAAGCATGTATGGTAAATATTTATAAGCGATAGTTGATCTGCATAAAAGTCATCTAGATAAAACATGTAATACTCGTTATATTTACTTTATGTCGATACAGGGCATGTTTCAGAAATTTGGGGTGTAACATGTCATCTTCTCTACCCGCCGTGTTCTGTGGAAAAATTCTATGATTTGAAATCTATTGCAAATCCTGAAAAAGAGTTTCGAATTGTGTCTTTGGCGCAGTTCAGACCTGAAAAGGATCACCTAAAGCAGCTCGCCGCGCTTAAGGTTCTACAGAAGCAGCTAGCTCCTGAAGAGTTTCAGCGGGTCAAACTTGTGCTCGTCGGAAGTTGTAGAAACCAAGAAGACCAGGAAAGGTACCTTTTTTTAATATGGAATATGATGAACAGGGAATTGTTTACCGGTTATTCCGGAAACGGCCTTGTCATGCATGTTGCATAATATTTTGTAATCGACGAAGAAATATTGAAGCATTCATTAATAACTAAAGGCTTTATAAATTATTTCGTTCGATATCATGGAAATAAAATAAACATCTATACTTAATTATGCTGTGCATTCTTCGATAAAAAACCCGTGCCTAACATTAAGGGTGCATGAAATTATTACAGGGTACAGGATCTGAAGCTTCAAACCGACTTCCTTGAACTGAGTGACAACGTTGAGTTTGCCGTCGACGTCCAATTTTCAGAATTAAAAAAGGAGATGGCGAAGGCTTCAGCGGCAATTCATACGATGTGGAATGAACACTTCGGCATCGCCGTAGTTGAGTGCCTTGCAGCAGGACTGATAACAGTTGTTCACGATTCTGGTGGACCAAAGGAAGACATAATCCGACCGGGATGTGGGTTTACAGCGATTACAGCTGAGGACTTCGCAAAACAGATCGCTCAGATTATCAGGTACCATTATTCGAATAAAGGTTTTGTAAAACATAAGTCTGAGTATATATTAAACAAAAAGAACGAGTGAAACGTAAATACTCTATGTACATATTCACGAAAGTACAGTATTTTTATACTTCTATCGTTTTCTTTTTTTTTTGTATCTAAGTTATACTATTCGCAAATGACACTACTCATCACTAAATCGGTATACTGAACGCATTCTTATTTGGTATAACTTAAGTGCTCGGCTTGTGATCTCCTTTTATTTGGCTATGTTTCCGCAAACCTCTATCGTTAACGTAGTGAACGTTCCATTTTTAGGATGACTCCTTCCGAGAGGCAAAAGATAAGTGATGCAGCTAAGCGCTCAATGGATCGATTCACGGAAGGTAAATTCAAGAGTAGTTTTCTTAAGATCGTGAGGACTTACATCGAGAATCAACGGCCGGCAGAACGCATAACAACCTAAGCTGAACATGCAAAGAGTTCCAATTTGTACCAACCGCTGTTATATGTTCAAGTTAAATACAACTTAATGTATAAAATGAAATACGGGGTGACTCGGTCGTCGCAACGGCGAAAACAGCCACCAAGTCAAGCCAAAGGTCTACCGACGGATAACCGTCAGCTGGGACTTTCTCTACATGAGGCGTTCAGTGTAACTTGTACTGTACATTTTTCACCCAAATTACGGTGCATTTAATACATTCGAGCATTACTTGTAATTATTTATATCAGCTTCTTTTCATTTCCTCTTGTTAAACGAACACATTCGTTGATGATTGGTACAGCAGAGAGTTAGCAATATGTATATCAGGACTGACAATGATCTCGCGGCTTTTTCTGCTAGGGCTGTCCAAAAGCTCTTTCGTAAATATGAAATTATTCACTTGCCTATTTGTAATCACCGTACGGTACTACGCTCATTTTACAGCGAGCTCCGTACAGTTCACCTGAATAAGCATAATTAGCATTAAGAACATTTCGTTAAAATAGGTTTCATTGAGTAAATGGATGCTGTAATTCATAAGTCTGGCAAGCAACTTCTTGAGGGGACGTTGTTTAACATAAAGCTTATGAGCTTTATGAGCATTTTTTAGCTCTTAGCCTAATAGGCGTATATGCTACGGCGGGACTCGGTGCAAGTCCCGCCGTATAGTAGGTAGAGTTAAGTTGGTGCAACTTAACTCTACCTACAATTGCCTCAAGGTTTCCCTTTTACTTTATTTCCTCTAGGAATTAACACTTACTTTTGAAGGCAACATACCCTTGCTGAAGTCGTTGCTGTTTTCTATAGTTGATCTTGTTCAGTTCCGAAATGTTTTTTTAAACAGTTCTGCTTTCCTTTTACATTGCGATTCTTTTTGGCAATTCCGTATTAGTCGCCTTCTCCGACAGCATCTCTGTGCTTCTTTACTGTCTTTCTATTATTCGTATTTATTTTCGTTTTTGAGCTATCCCAAAAAATTCCCATCTCTTTAGAGGGTCCTATTTGTCCGTCTTATTTCGTCGTACATAGTTTTGTGAAAAATACATCACAGTTGCGAACTGAGGCAACATATAATTTTTCAAAATTAGGCTTAATTCTTTAGCTTACCGATTAATATCTTAGAGCTACCCATTGGGTTAACCTTCAAATTGTACTTAAATTGTCAGTTTGTCCGTTGCGCTCTTTAGCATCGTTTGCTATTTTTATCCCCAATCTCCTGTACCAATTACTATTAATTTCTTGTGACATAAAGCTCTCCAAGCTAACATCGATGAATCTCTTCTTTCCGGATATTCAGGAACTCACCCATAAGCTAGCCTTTTTATGTCATTTGAGCATAAACTTCACCATTCTGTCCTTAGTGTCCTAATTGTTGCTTCAACCGAAATCACTGATAACAATGACTCGGTAAACCTTTTTATCACCACTCTCCCCTTTTTTATTTCACAATTTTTATTAAACATATATAAGCACTCGACACAGAATACAGTGTCTACCGAATACAGTGTCTTTAAAAGTTCGCGTAAATGTCTTGCTTATGCAATAATTGGATGAAAATACAGACTTTAGGATTCATGCAATACAAAAGTTAACGATAACTTACTATAAGTCAAAAACATATACAGCCATATACAACTATTTAAAGCGCCTTTTTACGGATATAACCAGTATATGTTACCCATTCATACCTCTTAGAGAACATTTTCAAATTTTAAAAGCTGATATTACATCAAGCAGCTTTTAAAATGTTTACATCATTTTTTTCGGATTGACCATGCTGACCGAGCGGTAGTTGTAGAAGCACGCTGGCTGACTCCGACGAGAATTTATCTTTACTTATATCATATGCAACCGGTGAGCAAGCTTTGCAAGGGACGTGAAGTCACAGCGACGCTACAGTCAGGTAGTTTACCAAATCGTCACACAGGCATGATTCTTTGATGTTTTTGAACTTAAACAACAACCTTGTACGCTCCAGCAAAAACCGTTTTTCCCGCGTGAATATCTACAGGTTTTCATCTCCGCGTCAAATAGCTTGGAAGTCATCCCACGTTGCTTTGCTGTCTACAACGGATTCAAACCGGTATTGAGCTGGACCTAAAAAATCCATAAGCAATTTCAAACAGGTGTTGATGCGGCCAACCGTAAATACTTTTTCCTGCTTCCAGGACCTCCACTTGTTGACCCATCGCTAAGGCTTCAAGAAGTCAAAATACTGGTAGCTTCGGCGGCGACACAACTCCCTCTCTTTTAAACGCTTGACAAAAAAACCGCAGTCTTGTGGCTTGGTTGACCACCTGGTCCATCCTATATTTAATCAACCGCTGTGCGAATTGTACTGATGATACACTCGTATCGGCATAAATGCGATTCATTCGCTTTACACCTTGTTCTTATATAGCTATAGGGACGGAAACACCTAGGACTTGATAAGTTATTGGCTAAGCATCGTAACATCATATATTTAGGAGCAATAAGGAAATTGTTTATCCTCGAAGTATAAATTACCCTATTCACCGTATACACAATGTACTGCATTGCCGAGTTATCTGTTAATACCTGTAACTGATCATCTTCTCATACTTGTTGTTAAGTATATCGCACATGTACAGGAAAACCTCAAATTGGCATGCGTAACATACATCGACGTATTTACAACATATTCAGCTATGCGTGCTATGCATTGATATTGTGATCAATTCGCCGAGATGTTGGAACTTTGTCGAAAAGTTCAACCTTGTAGTTGTTTAATACTACCCTAAAACTCCCGGGGATTTCCATAATAATCGCAAATGGCGAATACATTAATAACTTAATCAATGTAAGTTAATAAGTTAATCAATGTAACCTAAATATGGTCATTCAAAGTTAAGGCAGTCACGTCGTACACTACTGATTCAAATTATTCTGCTACTATAGGTTTACATGGTCTGCTTTACGTGCATGTGACGTGAATCTGAAGTAAATCAAATGAATGCCTAAGTAATGTGTGCATCTTTGTTGGTAATCCGGTTTGATGGCTATTACTGTACTTCTATTAGCAGTTGTTTGTAGCTCAGGCTTAGGTAAGAACCGGCTATATAAAACAAAGCAACAAACACCTTTAATTAATTTTGAAAAACAAGCCACGCGGATATTCGATCTACTACAAACAGATGTGAGCGTGTGCTTGCTTTCGTCATCTTGAATCGTGTTACAGTGCTTGGTTAGCCTGGTGTTTGCAATTTTTGACGTTCATATTATTTTAGGAGAGATAACAAATTACTTCCCGAAAAACTGGGCTACTTCTCCCAAAAAGCCCTGTCCATTTTAGTCGTCAAAGCATGTATAAGATATAGAAGTCGTTTTGGCTTTTATGAGCTTATTCGATGTTCGAACTTGGCCATTGGGTACTAATATTTCAACTGTCGAAATGGGTCCCGATTTATTCTCAAACTCAGACTTCACTCATATTAGCTTCAGCATAATGTGATCATGGTTATAATCATTCTTGTGTAAATATTTTTTCAAGATCTGCACTGTTTATTTGAACAGTTACTCATCAATCAGCGTTGCATGCATCCAGTGGCACAATAATTGAGATATTTTTGTTAGTTGAAATTGAGATTATTAGGATGCTTCTGAGCTCATCGAACTTGCCTACCAACCAGTTTTTAAAGCTACCTTTCAGCACATGACCAGGATTCGTACAAGGTGAAAATGGGTCGAAACGTTGGAAATGTCAATTTTGATGCCGCAGATCGGAACGCCCGACGTACATAGATGGTTCAGGCGAGAGCGACGTAAACTGGTTGTGCATGGTATGGCCACGACAAAAATAAAAGCAATTCCGAGCGGAGTAAATCCGGCAATGCTTGCTGTTTTATTGTGTACGAGGCTCTGCATGCATTTTATTTTAGGTTCGCGGCTCCTCTAGCCAGATTTTATCCCCTCAGCCCATTAAATCCCACTGTGCATACGTTTATGTAAAAATTGTATGTGATTATTAAACTAAAACATGCATGTATTCCAGTATTTGTAATAGCCGCAGCTCGTACTTGTAGTTGTGTTGAATGAGACGAGCGTCCCCTAGATTAATCTAGTGTCATACATAAATACTAAAAAAGACGAAAACTCTTCGCTTCCTTTGAAAAGTTTCCAATTCATCTTACAGTTGCTTCCAATGAAGAACTGAACATGGAGACAAAAGAACATAATCAAAATTTTTATGCCTATTTTGCTTGGGTGAACGAAAATTAGGAGGCGATTCAGTGGAAGTCGTACTTCACATATAAACCTGAGGCGTTCAGAAGGCAGCAAATAAAATTAAAGCAAGTCTAGTGTGCCTTCAGAGCGAGGTCATTTTAGAGAATAGATATAATTATACATATCATATATATTATGCATAACGCCAACGCATATGCATTATGGTATATTACGTAAGAGTTTATAGAGCACCATTAATAAACTATGAGGTTACTTGTAGTATGCGTTACGGATATACACATATTCCGTTAAATGGCCTTTGTATATAATCATTGAGCAAAAGTTTTTCCATTACATTGATGCGTTCTTCATACTGAGAGAAGCCTTATAAAAGATAATATAGAAATATGTATAATGTCTAAATTCAACTCATGTTAAGAAATACCTCCTACATATATATACCTTCGTTCTGTTCTTTTGTCAAGAGAATAGATTCGAATACCACCAAAATGTAGCTCACATCAGCCCCTATAATTTTCTTTTAGACATATAAGAGCTGTTCTTGGTTGGCAACCGCCTAAAGAAGTTAGTTTCAAAAATGCACTTCATTGACAGATACACATTGCCGGAGATAATAATGGTATTAGGAAAGATACGGTTAAGGATACGCAAGTATAATATAGATATCACTATAAACATTGTTGTTACTGCAGCAACAGATTCTTTGGGAAAACAGTAATCTCATTCTAGTTGTAGCTTATATAGTTTCTAATTTTAGAGCAATGAGCTTAATCTTGATCAGAATGCTCGAAATAAGCTCCAGCTAGTGTTCTTAAGTAAATAAAAATATAAAAAAATAATAAAAACATGTTTGCGGACCAATGATAGGCTTAGATTGTTAGATAACGTTTTTTGTGGTTGGACACCAAAGGGCTCTGTTGTGTGCTTGCTAACATAAATATTTTAGGCTTAGATAAATTCGAGTATATGAATAAATTTGCTGTAGAGATCGTGTAATCTTTTTTATTAACGGTATTCCGCAGACGGTATTCTGACT